CAATAAAACTGCAAAAAGGTTATTTAAAAATACTTTTTGTGTTACAGAGCCTAGCCTACTGAAATTGGAGTTTATTGCCTTTCTTTACTTTTAATGTTAAAAACAACATTGCTATAACTTTTAAAGTGATAAATTACTTATTCTACGAATAACACTTTTCAATGTCAAGAAATCGTCCTTTATTGTCATTATGCATAGGGCAAATTGTGCTTCAACCTAGTTGGTAGAGAAAACAGTATTCAGCAACTTATCCTGAAATCGGCTTTTAATTTAAGCATGATGAAATTTGTAAAGTAAAAATAACATGTAGGCCTACTTGGCTATGTAACAAGTTGGCTATAGTAGGCTTGTTCTTGCAAGGACCAAACAGATATATTCATAATAATTGAACTTGGTATTCGTCTTAAACCATAGCCTCAGTCCTATACAAGAGCTGTTAGCAGGAGCAAACTATGCTATTTTTTCAATGTAAGTTTCATGTTATATGGTGATTTTTTCATTACAATTATCATGTAGTCTAGGCATATCTTAAATCTCATCAGGTAATTTCCTCTTTGCTAATTTAGTAAACCTTTGAAAAATCTTCGTAATCTAACCAAGGAAGGGCTTGTGATGATAAACCACAATCAACAGCTGAAGCAAAGGTTGATAGACCAGCTTTCTCATTATTTCAAGGTGTGTTGGTTTCCATTAAACCCCAAGTTGAAGCATTATCGATATAATAAAGAAACTAAATTGATTACTAATTCCCCTGTCCTGTCCTGTCAATCACTTGCAAGCATTCAATTCAATAGCTTCTCTTGTCACCGGTACCGTTTAAACGTCGTCTGCATCTAGCGATTTTATTTTATCTGACAGTAATCATAGAGTAGTAAATTAAGGAAATGAGAGCCAAAAATGTGGATAACACTCATTTAATGGCCTCTATGTCCACACAACGTTGTAATAGGGAATGAAACGGCTGCAACCAGATGTTTGAAGCCAAGAAAGTAGGCCTATTTTTTTTTTAATCTCAGTTTGAAAGAGGTTGTTTCACGTAAGGTTGAGGTTATTATAAAAATCACTATCTCAAACAAGTGTTAATGTAGCGAGAAAAGTAGCTGAAATTCCGCTACAACTACTTTAAAAATGTAGCTAACTACAGCTAAAGCTACAAAATCTTAAAAGTAGCGTAGCTACAGCTAACGCTACAAAAAGAGTAGCGCGCTACTGTAGCGTGGCTACTTGTAGCGCGCTACTTCCCAACACTGTATAAGGCCCGGTTCACACGAACGACAAACCTAGCAGACTAGGCTTGAACTAGGTAAGCACTAGGTAAGCACGACTGGGTAGCGGACCACAGGATCAAATGGAGCCGTTCACACGAGCCTAGGACCCCGACTAGCTAGTCGTGTTCGAGCTTGGTGTCCCAAAACCTAGTCGGGCCCCGCTTCCCAGTCCGTCGTGGCAACTACCCAGTCGCCCAGTCGAACTGCGTAGCAGTACATGTAGCCTTATGGGAGCGTTCACACGAGCGATCGGGTAGTCGAGCTGCAGCTCGCATTCTTCCCTTTGTTCTCATTGTTCACCAGTGATGGATCCGAGTGGTTTTGATATCGATATTTTCACCTAGTCCGTGGACATGTCGTTCGTGTGAACCGGTGTGATCCTGTGGACCGCTACCCAGTCGTGCTTACCTAGTCCAAGCCTAGTCAGCTAGGTATGTCGCTCGTGTGAACCGGGCCTAAGTCAAAAGGTCACTTGAGGTATCTCACTTGTTTTAATGAACGGTTTTCGATTTGTTACAAAATGTGATTGGAAATTGTAACGTAATTTTCCTGGCGGACGACAAGTGGGAAATTACGCCACCGGTAATAAAACGAAGATCCCAGGATTCGCCCTAGTCTGGTCGCGGGGAGTTTCCCAGGAGTCGATAGTGATTCGGATAGCCTAAATTTGATAGCCCTGGTTGTCAGAGCTCGAGACGAACGTTGCGGGTTACTAAACACCCTACTCGAAATCACCACTCTAGCCTAGGGCTTGTGGGAAAATAAATAATTTTGACTTGACTCTGTGGGCAAATATCTAAAGGACACACTAATAGCTAACTCAACGAATCAACAAGTAAGCTAAATAGTCACTCCGCTTACCTACGGAGTTAAATCGTCAACCTGTAACAAACAAGGTTAGTACAAGATAGGCCTAACCTAGCCTAACTCCCACAGAGTCCAAATTTGCTAAAACAAGAAAACAAGTTGGCTTAAATTGCACAAGTGAGACACGAAACGAGAGAAAACTGAAACTAAAAATAAAACTGCTCCTGGAGCTGATAACGAAAAACTAAAACTTTAACTTCCTCACGTGTTCAACTTAAACCAACTTCGACAGAAATTGTCCAGTAGAAACCTGTCTGCTGGGACAAACTTTGGGACGTTTGGGAACTTTACAAAGGGTTTTAAAATTAAAAAAGAAAGTCCCAAGATGGATTATGAAACGTAATTGAAAATATATTTCACCAACTGCAGTTCTTTACTCAAATTGTTGGTTAAGGCGTATGACTAGGTCTGCGAATCAGGCCTAGCCTTCAAGTTCAACCAAGTTTCGTACACGAAAACTGGTCAAGTAATATACAATAATCTGTAAGTTAGTTACAAAACTTACCCGATGACGAAATTATATCAAAATATTCACTACAAAACAATACACACGAACTTAAGCTTTCAGAGCTTGCGATACGAACTTTAACTTGCACGAATTTTCGAGAACGAACCAAAAGCGAAACCAAAAGCGAAACAAACTTACGAAAAGCCGGGATTACGAATGACAATTCTCTTCTCTTCTCAGTTCACCTCCCTCCCAATTCGAGACGAAGGTTAAAACACTCGCTGATTGGTCAACGAGTTACATAAACAGAAAAAAACTGGCAGCGAAGGCAGGCGCATGGCAGCTTTAACATGCTTTAAAGCTGCCTCGCTCAAAAGGTGACCCCGCTGCTCATCTTCTCTCCCGTAGCCCGCCCTCAGACGCAGTCGAACAGCCAAACAACCAAACTGACACCAACGTCGTCTGCGGTCTTGGAATTTGAGGTTAGGTACGATGTCAGTTTAGTGTCGCGACTAGGCTTACTCAACAGCTTATGTTTAGCTGTTTAATGTTCGTGGTTTAGCCGTTATTTTACCCCCTACACATTTGACCCGTTACAAAATATTGCAGTATTTAGGAAACATTCAATGTAAACATATCCGTGACAGCTAGAAGTGACTCAAGTGAGAATCTTAATCCAAACAGCTGTTCGTTATTTCATAAATGACGTATGTTGTAAACATTGGGAGAAAACTTAATAAAAATCGCACAAAATTGGGTTTTTGATGGTTCGTTATTTTATTTCCAAAGTAGCAAGGCTATATTTTATAGCCAAAGACACTCTCACCAATCCAGTGAATACAAAAGAATGATTTGAATCTTGATCGGTACTCTAGTTTTTTTGGAGAAGGGCGTAAATTGAAATTTTGGCGTTATAGACAGAATGACAGAAATTGAGATAAGACTAGTTTAGGCTTTCTTAGGCAATGAAACGTAAAAATAACCAAAATCTGCATGATTCTACGCAATGTACAGACAAAACGGTAATTTTATTTATATAGATTAGTTATTTTGTATAATTGTAAGGTTTTGTATAATTGATCAATAGTATACTCTGTTAATAAAATTTTAAATAACATATTAAATACTAAACATCAATCCACGGTTGAGTGTCAATTGGGAATCGTATTATGTCATCACGTAAATCATCGTGTCGTTTGTCCGCGCCTGCAGTACATTTATATCCGCCATTGCTACACAAAGCAGACAAACTTACTGCGGTCATGTTAAGTAGATACCGGCAATAGTTCCTCGCACTGAAGGCTGAACTAGAACTACAGAATGAGGGAATGAGAGGCGTTGTCCGCCATATGTACTAGGGAACAGTACATTGGAACTAGGGAATTGTAATAAAGCCAAGAGCCAATGGGCTAGTTGATTCTTCTAGTTGGTACTAACATAACAACATTTTACACCATCTCAATTTTCTAGCAGAGTGGCCGTGGCAGTGCTAACCCCCAGTTGTTTAGTTTATAGCTCAGTGGATGCTCGCTATGGTAACAGCGCTAGCATGTTTTCAGTCTACAACTATTTTGTTTCGAAAAAAGCAAGAGCGGTTCCCTGATTCTGTTTACTTATGAAACTTGGATATGTTAAATAACTGAGACCGCATGATAATTTTAAACTACCATAGATAAACAGTATAGAGCCACTTCTATAACACCAAAACAAACTTAAAACATTATTATTAGACAGGAATTAATAACAAAGTAGTAAAGTTAAAAGTTAATCTAGTTTTTCTCAGTTTGACTGTGCAGTGGGTTGGATCCCTGTTGCATATCTAGGCTCAATTGTGTAGTATAATTCAGTTGTGACTTAGTGATAGTGACCCTAAAACCATAGAGTAGACAGCACATTCTTCTTTCTCCTTCCACAACCAGAACACCCTGGAAAAAGAGCTAAAAGCTAAAAAAAATGCTATGTGTATATTATGTTTATTTGTGCAATTTCCTCTATTTTTGTCAGTAGGGTTTGGCTGCTGTAAACCTATTCAGTAAAAAATCCTTAATACTCCTGGTCTTAAGTCAACTTAACCAGTAGACTCCCTCTTATACGGACTCCTCAGGACCGAGGCCAGTCCGGTTAAACCGACGTCCCCAAAAACTCGTTAAAACGGACTGTTTACTGTGATATTCGACTTAAATTTAGGAGAGCATTGTATTTAGACACGTGGTCTCAAATCTTTCCCACGAGAACAGTTGTTTCAGTACTGCCCACTTCCTGCCGATCTAGTCCGGTTAAACCAATGTATTGATAAAATTTGTCCGGTTAAAGAGATGTAATTTCAGCCGAGTGTAGTCCGGTTAAACCGATGACCAGTCAAAAGGTGTCCGGATAAGAGGGAGTCTACTATATTGTGGGTTTAGTGGTTAATATACCTTAGTGAGTACTCTGCCTGTATGGATGTCACTGAAAGCCCAATGCTGGTCACTAGAGGTGGACAGGACGTAGTCTCCTGTGGGATGGAGAGATAGTCCCGTCACTGGGGCATCATGTGCTCGGATCATCTGCAGTGGTTGATTGTTGGGAACATTCCATACTCTGATGGTTGTATCAGGTGATGCGGTTATTACTATGTCCTGTCAACAAATTGTGTCAAACTTAACAAATATATAGAAATTAAATATTTAATAACTACAGTATTTCATTAAACGAAACACTTTTAATCATAATACTGATTAACCAAAATGGCCTGAGAAAAGGTTAATACCAAAATTGTTTACTGCCACACAATGTAAACTACAAACACACTACCCCCCTACCCTTTGATTTAAAACATCTGACAGCTAATGTATTAAATAAAGTATGACAAGATATTATCACTCCTAGAAAACATATTTTGTACGTAATATTACATTTTTTTGTAATAATATTAATCTGACCGAGTGAGCTAGCATCATGCCATTTCACATTCAGGAGGGCTGACTATCAGGCCGGCCATTCTGAGGGAAGTTTGTATGGTTTCTTTCCTCTCTTAGGGGCAAATGGAGGGATGGTTCCCTCAAGGGCCGTCCCTGTCAGGCAGAATGGAAGAATGGACTCTGTCTTAACTCTGCTTGGTTATCAAATCCCAAATAGGTAGGATTAGAATTCTATTGCTTTTTAAATCCAACAACAATTGTTTATCATGTAAAAACATCGAGTCATGGACGTTGACAGACGCAAGTAAGAAAATTAGGGACATTTAAACTAAATTACACCATCGCTATATAAGTAATATATACAGTACTGTACATAAATATAAAATTATTGTTGTTTAGTATTTCATACAATATTTCAAACCAACCAGTAAATGATCTTTTGTTAATTTATTGCATTTTTGTTGTTAACTAAGTGTATATAGGTACAACAAGTTAGATTTACGTTTATTATAAATTACCATTGCTGCATATTAACAAATTTCTGTAGTCCTACTGTGTATTGCCAATAAATTATTTTATCTTGCTTCTACGGTTACAAATAGCTTGAGCTCTACGTAAAAACATTGACAGAATCGAACACCTCATTATCTTCATTTTTGGTATGACACCTTGAAAAACTCAAATCTTAAAAAACTCAATAATTTTATTTTTCCCTTCCTACTTCAGCTTTTAGGTGTGAGGTCCTGTATTAAGCTTTAAGTTAGTTCAGATTAGAATAAAAGTGTTATGGTAGATTGGGATGAACAAGTAAGTTTAAGATTTGGAGGTTGTCTTTATACTAGGGATGGAGGTTTTTGAAGAAGATTCTGGTTAGGCTCGATGATTCTAGAATTTTGAAGACTGATTTTAAAAGATGGTTCAGAGATTAGACCAGGGTGGTAGGTGGTTATTAAATTTAGGTGTTGGTCTTGATTGTTGATGTTCTTCTCTTTTCTGGGGTTTTGTTGGATTGTGCTGCTTGTATTTGGGATTTTACAAGGTTTCTAGGGTAGTCTTGGTTTTAAACGCTTTCTGGAGCTGGTTATTGTATGTTTTTTATTTTTATTTTCTTGGTCAGAAATCAGGCGAGTCCTTCTTAAGGCCAGCCTGTAGGGGATGAATCGCTTTGGGTTATTAGGGAGGCAGCTTGAGAAATGTAAATATTGATGATGGTTGGTTGGTTTTATATAGATGGAAGTGCTAAGTTGGTTGTTGGAGACGTTAATTGTTAGGTTCAGTAGTTAACTGATGTGTTTGAAAAATCCCACGTGAACTTAAAGGTCCAAATTAATTTAGGCTTTCAAGTAATGTTAGCTGATCATCTTTACCATGTGTCCAAATTATAAAAATTTCATCTATGTATCTGAACCAACAGAGGGGTACTTTTTTGTGTTGTTTTAGACAATTTTCTTCATATTTTCCCATATACAAGTTTGCATAAAATGGTGCTATTCTAGTCTCCATGCCCCCTTAATCTGTAGGTGGACTCGCCTAAATTACAACCAAGAAAAAAAGAAAACATACAATAATCAGCTCCAGAAAGTGTTTTAAAACCGAGGCTACCCTAGAAACCTTGTCAAATCCCAAATACAAGCAGCACAATCCAACAAAACCCCAGAAGGGAGAAGAATATCAACAACCAAGACCAACACCTAAATTTAATAACCACCTACCACCCTGGTCTAATCTCTGAACCAACTTTTAAAATCAGGCTTCAAAATTTTAGAATCATCGAGCCTAACCAGAATCTTCTCCAAAAACCTCCATCCTTAATATACAGACAACCTCCAAATATAATAAAAGTGTAATATAACATTAACATTAGGGATGGACGGGTCCCGAAATTTCGGGAATTTTTCGGGAAAAAAATATTCCCGATTATCGGGACGGGATTACATTTTATTCGGGAATTTTTCGGGACGGGATTTGGTCCGATCGTCGGCGATTTTGCCGCTTCGCGAGTGCCGATGACGCCGCTATTGCGAGCGATAGGTCCGCGAACGCAGGAGACGAAGTCATTTCGACGATTGCGCCGTGATCGCGAGTCATACCAACGATCACGCCGTGACCGCGAGTCATACCAACGATCGCGCCGTGACCGCGGAGTCCTACCGACGATCGCGCCGTGACAACGAGTCATACCGACGATCACGCCGTGACCGCGGAGTCATGCTGACGATCGTGCCGTGATCGCGAGTTATACCGACGATCACGCCGTGACCGCGAGTCATACCAACGATCGGCCGTGACCGCGGAGTCCTACCGACGATCGCGCCGTGACAACGAGTCATACCGACGATCGCGCCATGACCGCGGAGTCATGCTGACGATCGCGCCGTGACCGCGAGTCATACCAACGATCGCACCGTGACCGCGGAGTCCTACCATTGATCGCGCCGTGACAACGAGTCATACCGACGATCGCGCCATGACCGCGGAGTCATACCGACGATCACGCCGTGACCACGGAGTTATTCCGATAATCACGCCGTGACCGCGGAGTCATACCGACGATCGCGCCGTGACCGTGAGTCATACCGACGATCATACCGTGACCACGAGTCATACCGACAATCACCCCGTGACCGCGAGTCATTTCGACCACGAGTCACAAGTTTCTATAGGTACCTGTAAATTGTTACCCATTTTTTGGTTTTTATAGATCAGTGCCACAAACGGTAAAAATAGATTTCGTATGTCTTTTTTGGTAACTGCAATACTTAAGACTTTCTTTTTATGCATAGAAAAAAATCCCGTCCCGTCCCGTCCCGAAAATCGGGAAGGAAATAAATATCCCGTCCCGTCCCGTCCCGAACCAAAAATTCAATCCCGTCCATCCCTAATTAACATGTTCTTTAGTTGCATTATATAATGCTGAATAAAGGGCCTTCATGTTCAACCAAAATGTTGGCTACCAAAAACTACATCTTTCCCATTTTTTGTTTAAGAATATTTCTACTGTGCATAAAATATTACAAAATCAAAATGTAAATTTAAAAACTACAACAAAATGTCCAAAAAAAGTTAATTTGAAATTTGAAATCCTACTTCCTACTAATATTATAAGTGAGAAAGTTTAGATGGATTGATGTTTGTGACAAGTAAACACGAAAAATACTGGTCGGATTGACCTGGAATTTGGTGTGATGATAGCTCACATTCCCAATTAACATATAGTCCCATTCTTATCTCGAAAACCTTTCGGGCTCCCCCCAGTGGCTCTGGAGTTTCCCATGTTAACCTTATGAGTACGGTATTCATATTTAAAAGGAATAAAATAATTTTGTCACCTGTTTCAACTACACAGGTTAGTTCTATGATATTAAATTATATATTATTATTGCAAACGCAAAGCACGAGTATAACTGCAATAAGCATTTTATACCTATACGCCAACCCTTTACGAAGGACAGGTACTCTGCTAGTAAATTATAAATGTGAAAGTTTGTATGTTTGTTTGTTTGAAGTTCAATCACACATTAATCTGATAATCGGATTAATCTGAAATTTGGGATGATGATAGCTCACATTCCCGATTTACATATAGGACTATTATTATCTCAACAATCCTTTCAGGCTCTGCCCCAGTGGCTCTGTAGTTTCCCATGTTAACCTTATTAGTATTCATATTTAAAAGGAATTAAAGACTTTTGTCAGTTGTTTCAACTTAACAAGTTAATTCTATAAATAGCAATAAAAAGTTTTAAAGTTTACCAACAGGGTGCAGCAATATTAATTTTTTGGCATTTAAATGACAACAGCTAATTTAAACAGTTTCATCAAAAAGCTGTGATACACAATGAGAATTATCAAATTAGGATTGTTTACATTTATGTTTATGTTTTAAATTTAATAATTGGTGACATGCATTCAACAGAAATACAGTAGGTAGGCCTACTTGATGTGTGTTTTAAAATGGTGCACTAGAATAGAATGCAACATTATACTTTAGACAACACAAATTATTCAAAATATTTAATGGGCATATAAACTGCAGAACTTTAAAATGAAAAGATGAGCCTGCTGGAATGTACTATTCTGGTGGAAAATCCCTACATGTATTAGAAGAGCCGATACAGCTATGAAAGAACTTAACCTTGGAGAAAAATTTGTCACGGCATTTCCAGTTTCAAGATTTTATGTTCTATGAATTTTAATTTGGAGATTAAACATGTTGTTTTGTATTAATTAATAGATGATAATATCTTATTTTTGTGGTCGTTGGCGAATCCACCACTAGTAATTATTTGCAAAACCGTAGAAGTAAAGACACAGACCTGAATAAAAAGAAAAAGTTCAAGGAAACAAAATTTAGGAAACCTTCAAGCATCCAGTTGTGTCACCTGTTTTGGTTTAGATTGTAATACCATAGACTAACCAACACAAAAGACTTCTCATCCCATTCTTAATTTTGAAGCACGTTTTTCGTGTCTAGTTCATGTACAGTGACAATGGGCGCTAGTGTCGACAAAATTTTGTTTCTGTTATTTTAGGGTTAATTTCTTGATTTGTGCTTTACTGTTTGGTTATATAACTAAGGGACAAGTTATATTGTTTATGATTAGATCGTATTATTTGGTTAAATGATGTTTTAAATTACTGTAATAACGGGAAACAAATCGTAAACAAAACACAACCTCTACATAAACCGTACAGAACTAACAATAAAATTGTCTTCAGCTGTTCCATAAGATTGAGAAATCTACTAAGGGAGTATGTTTTATCTATGGCAATACTCTCATTATTTCTTATGCTGTACGATATTTATGGTTAGGCATATACAATCGCAGGCGAAGCCGCGGGTACAAGCTAGTTTGAAATAAATTAACATAAGCAGTTTTGTTTTGATCCATTCAACCTTGGTAAGGAGAGCTGTAGCAGGATTCACACAAATCTCAATCTAAGATTTAAATAATTATTTTTTATTTTAATCAGTTTAAAGTTTTCCAAACGATATATTTTAAAAAGTTTGTCTCATTTTTTGCCAAATTATTAATTATTTTCATTATTCATATCAACTGACCTCTTCTGGGTGGTACACCACTCTGGTGACTTTCTTCGTATGACCCTTCAGAATAGCTACAACTTGCTCTGTGTCCTTGTTGAAGACTGTGGCATTCCGATCATTTCCTCCAGTCAAAATTTTGCTCGTGTCCGCCCCATGAATGTCAAGGGAGAGAATACCAGGAATACTAGCACTATGAAGACCCTTGTAACAGCGCAAGATAATAAGTTAGGCTAGTACAGAAAAAACATAATGAATACATTTCATTCTACTCATTCAGCACTTTCTAGCAAGAGACATGTTGTTTTTTGACGTTTACAACAAAATTGTCAGATAAATAAATAATTTGTCTATTTCCATTTCGTTTTTAATCCAGATGGATTTTTATCAGTTTGCGACTAGAAGTGATTTGGATTTTAAAACCCAACTAATTTTGAAAGAAAAAACCTAATGAACCTCATTGAGGTAGTTAAATATAATAAAACAAAATAACCTCTTAGTTCTATAGATTATTTATAATATATTTAACCAGCTGTTAGTTAAAACAAATTATATTGCACTAAAACAAACCGATTATTTTAAATTATGGAGCTTAAAAATAATTGCTTTAAAAATAATTTGAACATCTAATATTTTACTATGAATATTTAATCAATTTGTCATCCTCTTACCGAAGAATTTTAATGTATAAATGATAATAGCATTACACATAGGCCTAAATAATTCAACCCTACATATGTCTTTTCATACCAAAGTGTTTACAGCTGTTATGTTAGGCAAATTATATAATACCAAAAGCTAGTTTAGAGTGTTAGCGTCGGCTTGTCGGCTGCTAGACTTTTTAAAAATTAAAACTTAATTTCTAAAAAACTGGAACCTTAAATTGAAATTATTGCTTAAACATTCCGTAGTTCTCAAAATTATCTTTCTTTCAACACAAAAATCATGAAAATCTTTCAAGTGATTGGTTCAGAATTGTGTAGTAAAAAAAACCCCACTCACGTTTTAATATATACGATGGAGAATATTTTAAAATGTTTGCTCACTTGTGTATATATTTTAATCAAACTTGGCAAATTTATTTATTTTATACAGTAGACTCTCAGTAATCTGGCAGATATAGGACCGTGATACTACCGGATTAGTGAAAATGCCGGATTACTGGAATGTTATCAATAAAAACACTTAAAATGCACTTAAAACACATCTCCGAAGATCGTACAATCGGAAACCGCTATTGCCGCAATAGGGCATGACGACGATGATGTTTCCGTAATCGTAGGAGTCATTGATAACGTTTAAACGTCCGCAGGAGATGTTAATAATTTTGCCACGATCGCGCATGACGACGATGACGTTACCGTGACCGCGGGAGATGTTCATGACTTTGCCGCGATCGCACAAGACGACGATGATGTTTCCGTGACTGCGGGAGTGAATCAGGATGATTACACGGCCGCGGGAGATGATAAAATTTTTGCCGCGATGACCGCGGAAGATGTTCATGATTTTGCCACGATCACGCAAGATGACAATAACGTTTCCGTGACCGCAAGAGTAGTTTATGACGTCTAAATGGCCACGGGAGATGTTCATGATTTTGTCGCTATCCCAAAAGACGATGATGACGTTTCCGTGACCGCGGGAGTGGGTGATAATGTCTACACGGCCGAGAGAGATAATCAGAATTTTGCCGCGATCGCGGAAAACCTCGCCTGTCAAAAGACGCCGGATTACTAAAGTGCCGGAATGGTGCAGTGCCGGATTAGAGAGGGTCTACACCATTGACTTTATATCTCTACACTAGACATCTTATCGTGTACTAAAATCCGTCGCCAACGATTTCAGCCGAACTAGTAGAGTAAACCCTCCATGCAGTGTCGCTCCTAGCGGCCGTGGCTTGAAACTCGATCCGGCTCCACCTCCAGTGCTGCGCGCGCAGTGGCATGACGTAACCGACGTGCCCGTGCATATACCTCCCCCCACAACCCTTCCCCCACAACCACTGCCTCTCCTCTCCTCTCTCCGTACTGCCAGCCACAGACGGCCCGGCGAATGCGCTGTGCTTATCTTTGCAACACGCCGCCGGTGTCTCCGAGCCCAAGCATTGTGGTCGCTCGATCGCATACTGTACATGCTAACTTACCTCTTTAAGAATACAATTAATTGGTTATAGTTTTACACTATGTAATTCCCAAGTAGTTTATATACATTATTATAAAAGCTAAGGAAGAACCGTTTTGATGTAAATAGAATAATGATAAAATCAAATTGATTTACAAATATAAGCTTGGTAACTGTATAAATAGAATAAATACTGAAATTAGTGTGTACTTTTAAAATGGCAAAAACCTTTATAGGACATCTACATATTTAATACACAGTTGTAAGTCTGTTTTCTCAGTGACTACTGGACCGATATGCAAGATTTATATGTCAAATTAAAGGGAATAATGCGCAGATTTGCCGAATTTCCTTAGTGCAGTATATTCGTTAGTCTTCAAAGGGCGAGTCATTACAATTCTTATTGAAGAATATGAAATTAGTTATACAGTAGACCCCCTCTTAACCGACCTCGTATTAACCGATAATCGGATTATCCGCCTTCGATCGTAAAATAATACAGTTTGTTTTAACTAACCGACCTTGATTTGAGAGCAGCTCGGTTTAACCGCCACTTTCCAGGAATCTCGGCATTTCCGCTCCCACGCTGGGCGATGAGAACTGAACCATACGCTTATCTCCACAGGATATGACTAACAATAAGCTATTTTGTGTTGAGCACAAAAAATATAGCATAGCCTATTGTCAGTTTGTCATCATCGTTCGTAGCTCGAGCCCATCTGATCTGATTTGTTATCTGTGCGGCAAGTTTATAACATCATAAAGTGCGTTACGATTTTGAGAACTGATTATCTTATCGCCGGAGTAAACAAACAACGCAACTTGTAAGGAAGGCAGGGAAAGGGGGTTAACAACTCCAAGGTCAAGATAGTTTTTGTGCCTGGAGCCTCCAGTGAGAGGCTATAAATAAACGTACTGTTTTGTAACAAAATGGTCGCTTGTATCTTTAATGTCGACAAAAGGTTCTGTACTGTATTACGATGTATTTGGAAAGCATCAATTAATACATTACAGTATTAAAGTTATTAAAATAGGAATTTTATTGACTCTTGCCTAGTATTATAATAATATATTCCACTGAAAGTAGGCCTATTTGACTTAACTGTGCTTTGTGTTTATTTGTGACTTTTCTATCAATATGAAAAAGGAGATAAGAGTAGTTTATTTTATAAATAATGCAAGTATGACTTCAAAATAATGATTATATAATTCCAAATGAATAGCACTTCATTATGTTATGATTTTAGGGATTGCCCGTTTTATCCGACCTTTTGAGTTATCCGACCTAGGTCCGGTCCCATTAGGGTCGGTTAAGAGGGGGTCTACTGTAATTATAAACCATTTGTCAGATGTGAGATATTTGTTATTACTTTTATAACAGAACCATCGAGTTAAAAAAAGTAAAGGACAGTGATGGTGTTAAATGTGCTCTGGGAGTACCTACAAAAACACTGACTTTTGAACTGTGATCGTTTAATTGGATTTGTCCTTTGTCAATAGGCCTACTGCAAATCTATGAATTTCGAGACAGATAACAGGGGCACAAATACATTGTCCTCATGTTGTCCCAAGGGAAGGTTAAATTAGCTCTTTATCAACATTCTGAGCTCTTGGAAAATCTTATCAACTACCTATATATTTAATACACAGTTGTAAGTCTGTTTTCTCTTTATGTATAAGCTATGTATGAGCTTATGTGTGAGATGTATGGCTACATCCAATGTAAAAGAAACAAACACAATTTCTAAAAACTATTTAAATAATGTAAGATCATACAAGTATATACAATTTGTAATGGTGAGTTCTGCTGAGTCTCAACCAGATAAATCAAAATCTGATTTTTTTCTATTGGCTCTATCTTTTGATAATGGTTCAGTAGTGACTCTTTCAGTGTTTCTAGTTTATAACAATCGAAACCCGCTATTAGCACACAGTTCGTAAAATACGAATAGTAAAAATAATACTGGAACAGTAATTAAAAACTGCCTTCAAGGACAACACTTGATGGCCATAAAGAACACACAGGGATGTTTGTATATTTATTGAATGTTGAAACATGTTCGCTAACATTAAACCTTTTATCAAGCCAAATATATTTTGTCGTTTCAAAATGTTGTATCTTATAATATTTTGGCAAAATTATATATTTATTTAAATTTAATTTTGAGAACAGGAATCGCAATAGGATAACGCGCGAAACAGTTTTGGCGGGGGCGAAGAACCTTAACCTCTACGGCGCATGCGCATGTCAAAACTCTTGGCCTTGAGACTATTTTTCAAGTTGGGCAGTGGCGGATTTACCATAGGCACACTAGGCACGTGCCTAGGGGCGCCAGCCGTTGAGGGGCGCCCCTCAACGGCTGGCGCCCTGGCCGCGGCAGGCAGCGGGTAACGTGACGGGCGGCGTGCGTTGCGGCGGGCGCCAGGTGATTATCGATCGGTGAAGATGACTCACATCACTTTCAGATACACAACCATCAGTAATTTTAGAAAAAGCAACAAAACTCCAAGACATTTACGATACCGACCTTGAGTCAACATTTGGGAGTGAGTGTGTGCATTTTTCTAAATTTATAAAGTGCAATAACGTCACATGCACACCTCTCTCAATGAGCAAGTTTCTCAGAGAAGAAACATTGGAGGATACATTTCCTAATGTGGATATAGCTCTTAGGATGTATTTGTCTACTGCAGTTATCAACTGTTCTGCAGAAAGATCATTTTCTTCATTAAAGAGGATCAAGTCTTATCTGCGTTCTACCCTAAAGGAAAACAAGTTAAATTCCCTAGCTATTCTTAATATTGAACCCGAGATCCTTAATTGTGAAGACTTTGCATTTGAACAGTTGATAGAAGAGTCTTCTGTAATGAAAGCAAGACGTAAACGTTTGATGTAGATGTAAAAATATGTAAGAACATGCTTTCACATTCATAATTTGTTTGGTTTCATAACAGTTCGGTTTTTGAAGCAATCCCTTTAAACAATTAAAAATACTAGGCCTAATACAATATATTTCGGATACAAAGAACATCATAATTATAAGTGACTAATTGTTCACTTTTTTCATTTAGATTGCATTTCAGTATTCTGTTACATAAAAATAGGAGTTTAAACAAATTTTACCCGATCGTATTAAAAAAAGTATTAATACAAGATATCAAGAGTAATAATAAATCAAGCTTAACAAACCTTTTGAGCTGTCTTATTTTGAATCTTCTTCACCAAAAATGGGAAAATTAAGGTATGAATAATATTTCGTAATAGGTATATAACCTTTGACTATTAATACAACCCATTAGTCAATGATATAACATTAAATATAGTTCTTAAGTTCTTAATTATTATTATCATTAGTATGAGTAGGCCTATATGATGCATGATATTATTACTGTACATTAAATTAATACTAGTTAACCGCCCGTGCTCCGCCACGGGAATATTGTCAGCAATAAAAGAAATAATAATTAACAAATACTGTTTATCTTTGTATTTTATTTCGGGGTTGTTTAATTTTTTACATGAAATAGAACTGATGGTTTGCCTGTATAAACTATTTTATGTTAATCAAACCGATATATTACTTTAACCAAATGAATATTTTATATTACAGTAATTCAAGTTTCATTTGAAAAATAAATATTATACGAACTGGGCAATGCTGATAACCTAATAAGCAGCTATTTATGCTATTTAGATAATTTGCTCAAGTATATTCCTATATTCGTGGGTTTTTTTTCATTACATTTGTTGTATGGAATGAAGATGGTCACTTAGCCTACATGTAAATCACGCACCTCTTTGCTCTGTGATCACGCATCAGCAGTTGGTCGCATTTCACGAATCTTTGACCCATACTGTGAGTAAAAGCTGTGTTTACGTCGTATATATAAAGTTGGGCATACTTTGTTCAATGTTAGAGGGTATTAACGGTCCAATTTGATGGAAAAGGAGTCGTGGATTTAAAAACTATGTAGACTACCACTACCAGAAAGATTTTGATTCAAGTGAGACTTAGAACTGGCCATTTCAAATGCAGATTTGTTTTACTCAAATAGATTTTTGTCTCTTTTGACCCTTAATACTTTTTTTATAGTCGCTGATGATAAGATTTTCCATAAACTCAAAATGTTGATAAGGAGTTCACATTTTACCTTCTCCTTGTGACAACATAAGGAAAAAATATTTTTGTGTCCCAGTTAGTCTGTTCTGACTCAAAATTCATAGATTTGCAGTACTGACAAATCCAATCTAACGACCCCAATTCAAAAAAATTGGTATTTTTAGAAGGGACATTCAGAGCACATTTAACACCATCACTGCTCTTTACCTTTTTAGTTCGATGGTTCTCTACATGTTTTTTTCGTTCTGTATGTCTCTTTACACCCGGTTATTGATTACCTTTTCTTTTTATTTTTGTACTTTTCACATCCTGGGGTTAATGATAAAGTTTTATAAAGCTATAATGACCCGAGTCAACATTGCCATTAAACATCAAGTCACATACTTCTTCGCCAGAACCGAATGGTAAGTTACAGTTTCTCAAGCAGCTTCCCTGTGTACTTGAAAAAAAATCACTGATATATTGTAGTTCCACGTATCCCAGCGTACTCGCCATCTCGAAAAGGTAAAGTTTGGTACCACTGAACGTCTAACACTGATCTTGAGTAAGATTCGTCACCTACTATAAAATGTTTGTATGTTTCCCACTCATTAGCAATTATATGTACAACTTGCAAGCGGATTTCCCCATGATTATTCTGGTGGCCGTAGAGAATAAATTATATTGATCAAAACAATAAGTTTCCGTTCCCTACTATGGGTATTATTTCACATCCCATACTCAAACTTAAACTCAATTACCACTTTCCTTCAGATCACTTTGCAGGAAAACTAAAACATTTCAAAAATAAGTTAACGAATACACTTTCCTTGATCAAAATCGTGTGTTTATAAACAGAAACTCCAAGCTTAATAACTGCATACTGAAAGTGAGGTTATAAAAATAATAACAAATGTCTGACAAACATTAAACAGCTGACGAATAATTTATAAACTGTGTAATATATTCTTCAATAAGAATTTATTGACTCGACCTTTAAAGAGCTGTAGGTCGTAGCCCTTAGAAAAAACGTAAATTCTAAGGAAGTTCGGCAAATCTACACACTATCCCCTTTAATTTGAGACATAAATCTTGTAGATCGGTCCAGTAATTACTGAGAAAACAGTGTTACAGTAGAGTCCCGCAAACTCGGCTCTCGATAACCCGGCAGTCTGGATAACTCGGCCATCACCTGGCTTAGAAAATTAGTGATTTTTTGAGTCCGTGTTAAAAATGGACTCAAGCCAGCTCAAGCAAATCATTCGCAACTCATACCAAGGAATTGTTGTACTATATCTGATGACTTAAATACTGACTTGTATTATAAATATAAATAAAAAAGGCGGTTAAAAAGCTTAAAAAATTGTATTTTTCTTATTTTAAACCCTTGTTTCTGATAACCCGGCATTTCACAAACTCGGCATCCTTCCAGTCCACATTACGCCGAGTTTGCGGGACTCTACTGTACAACTGTGTATTAAATATATAGATGCAGGGTGTTTTTTAAAAGATTAAACCATTAAACCAGCTTCGATTTTTTTTTATCATCAAGTAGATTTAATTTAGTTTAATTTAGCAATGAATATAAACCATGCGAACCTCAGATTACAATTTGTATCTTCTGCTGTGCCGTAAACGTCATACTAGCGACTGGCGTATGGGTCACAATATTGGCCTACCACTGCGCACCTGTTTTGCGCATGTCAAGGTAAAAATTTCCTCCCTTGCTACAGGGGAAACAAGTTATTTTAGTTTCAATATTACGTATAAAACGTTTAGTTGCCTTGAATATTACCATAGCCACCTCTAATACAATATTACCCAAGCAATTATCATTTAAAATCCCGGCATTCTTTTAAAAAGACCCTGTACTATATATATCTATATAACTAACTGGAATATATATATCTACTAGAAATATAATTTTTAGGGTTCTCTGTTGTACTTTTACTACCGTAATTTAATATATTATCAGCAGCCCTATTACGTTAACCTAAATTCAAATATATATATGTATTAATAATTTCATAGAAATTATAAAAAAAACCCAATTTAAGCTGAATACATGTACATTTGAATTGAATTTATTCAAGAACGGCAATGCGTTCGGCGATTAATTTAGGCTATTCATGTTCATATTTATTCTTGTCTCAACAACTAAATATATGTTTTTCTTAAGACCTAGTAATACAACTTTAATATAAAGTAGGCCCTACTCATATAGTGACTATGTTTTCCTGGAAAATGCATTAATAAGCATGCCAACAACGGAAAGTTTATCACATATCGCCTCTGTTCCGACGACGTGTTGTGGCCACACAGCTGCATTCAGTACTCGCATCGGAGTCGGATCTAGTAACTACTGTAGTGGCATAGACTAAGCAACACAAGGGAGTATGTTTTATCTATGCTAATGGGTAGTGCAAGTGCCAAGTGTGGTGTGAAGAACGAGATATGAATGAATGTCCATGCAGTGTACGGCGCCGGCGGGCGGCGGACGGGCGCAGTGGCAGTGGCAGCGGCTGACGTCACGGGAGGGAAGTGAGAGCCGTAGAGAACGCTATCTTGTAGAGAAGAAGCGAACTAAGACCGAGTGCTGCGCTGTCTTTCGGAGGGTCAGACCAACTACTTGAACCACCGATTCTGGCTCAGATCCGCTCACTATGGCTGGGCCGTTTCTATAAGATGTCTAGTGTAGAGATATAAAGTCAATGGTCTACACTAAGCTATTAATATCTTACTAAAAAACACACTTTATTAGTTTCCCTGTAGCAGCAAACCTAGGTACTCGTTAAACCTAATGTTATTTAAATAGATTTAATTGAAAATCAATTCAGACAAATGAAAATTCGTTAAGTCGGAAGGTTTGCAGCGGCGGGGTCATTTTTATATCTAAGTTCTAAGTAGAATCGAGAAAGTTAAAATTTAAAACTTTCTACCTCATCACTACTTTAACAACAGGTGTTAGTGGGCCTAATGTAACTTTGGTTTAAGGAAATTTCTAATTTTATTTAGAAAGTGAACACTTAAGGAATAGACATTTTTAAAACCTCAATTAGGCTAACGCCAGTATTTAAGGACATTAATGTGGAATTCAAAACAGAATTACAACAAGCACAGCAGCCAGTGAGTTACCGGATGGGAGGCAAGAGTGTGAAAGTTGCGGACAGTCTCCTGTGTGACCAAGTCCTCAGGCACAGTCCGACCTCTCTTCTTCCGTTCCTGGGTGAGGACTGTAGCTTTATCTTGCAGCTTCTGGATGACCTCAGGTGTCATGCCAGCCTGTTCTGTAGGCTGAGCAGCAACACCAGCAGCTTCCACAGCAATCGCCTGAAAAGTTCAAAATGTAAACACCTGTTCATGACGTAACTACTGATTAAGACTTAAGGTCTTATTTAAAACCGAATATGAGTGAAGGATGAGTACCTATAGAATTAAGAAAGATGCATTTGACTAAATTTCCCATTTTAGAGAAAAAGGTGTTATCGTAGGTCTCATGGTAAGACCTGGACCTGGGACACACTCACTTTTTTATTTTGATGTCCCTAGAGGCCAAAAACACAATCTGCCCAAATTCATAAATAAATAAATATACAGGGTGACCATTACGTCTTAGGACGACTTTATAACTTTTAAACGACAAATGATATCACAACCACATTTGGTATACCGTTACTGGAAATTGTAAGCTATTTTTCTGTGTACATGGTGGTCGGATATCACCTTTGGGGACGGCCCGTCGGGGGTCAGAAGAAAATCTTTAATGACAGCCTATGTTGAGTTGTACATCATTTTAAAGGTCTACTTCAACTGAAAACAATGCCGCAAACCGGACTTCAAAAGGTTGATCCAGTCGGAAGAAATCGCGTTTAAAAGTTTAAAAAATGTTTAATACCATTATTACTGTAGCTAATAGAAGTTAAGGGTAATACATACAGAAAGTCTTTTAAAGTAGGTGTTCAAAATGTCCACCATCGGTCGTCTGGCAATATGCTAACCGGTTATAAAAGGCGGCTATTGCATTTTGTATGTATTCTCGTGGAATAGCTTGAGCTTCATGTGATATCCTATGTCTCAGTTCGTTCAGATCTGTAGGCTGAGTTCGATTCACTTTGTTCTTGATATAGCCCCATAAGAAGTAGTCAAGTGGAGTTAGGTCAGGGGAACGAGCCGGCCACTCAATTGCACCTCGTCTTATAATCCACCAGTGTGGGAATACTGCATCTAAGTATTGCCTTACCTGAACCCCATAGTGTGGCGGTGCTCCGTCTTGTTGGAAAAAACATGATTGGAAGTCAGCGCCCAGAGTAGCTTGTAAAGCAGGAACAATCTCATTTTGGAGCATATCCTGATACTTGTTGGCATTTAAATTTCCATCGATGAAAAATGGTCCTATAATTGAATTACGTACGATACCTGCCCATACGTTTACTTTTTGAGGGTGTTGTGTGTGACACTCACTCATCCAGTGTGGGTTAACATTATCCCAATACCGGCAGTTATGCCTGTTAACATGGCCATTCAACATAAAAATCGACTCATCTGAGAATACAATATCGTCCAAAAGTATTTGTCTTTGGTCAATTCTATTTATCATAATTTCACTGAATTCCATCCGGCGATCAAAATCATCTTCGGTTAGTACCTGCAACAGGGTAACCCGGTATGCCTTGAAACCAGACTTCTTTAATACTTTGCAAACTGATTCACAACCTATTCCATGAGATTGTGCTGCTGATCTAACTGATTGTTTTGGATTTTCAACGAAAGACTGAAGAATGTCTAATGAGCCGTCTTCGTCTGTCACAGAACTTGGTCGTCCAGATCTGGCACGATCCTTAACAGTACCAGTGTCTACAAAGCGAGCAACTATGTACTGTGCTGTGGATTTCGAAATAGGAGCTCTATCAGGAAAAGTAGCATTGAATAATTGTGTGACTTCTGCAAACGGTCTTGCATTATCACCCCAGCCGCGCATCATTAAGAGTGTAATTCTTTCACACTCACTAAGCAGCATCTTTTACAACTTATAATCTTATAAGTAACAGGATATGGCTGCAAAAACTACTGTAGCTTGAGTGGTACTGATAAGTGAACTGTTAGACGGATAAAAGCCATTAAGGGGGAAGTTCAGTGGATGGGAAACCCTGTCCTAGAGGCACTGCTTTCACTTTTCATTGTACTTCTTAATACAGCAGGTTTTCCTGATTACACTTCGCACATTGTCAGACGGCTGAAAGGAAAGAGTAAGATCATTTCTTACGTAATAATGGTATATTTCATTTTTAAACTTTGAAACATGATTTCTTCCGACTGGATCAACCTTTTGAAGTCCGGTTTGCGGCATTGTTTTCAGTTGAAGTAGACCTTTAAAATGATGTACAACTTAACATAGGCTGTCATTAAAGATTTTCTTCTGACCCCCGACGGGCCGTCCCCCAAAGGTGATATCCGACCACCATGTACACAGAAAAATAACTAACAATTTCCCGTAACAGTATACCAAATGTGGTTGTGATATCGTTTGTCGTTTAAAAGTTATAAAGTCGTCCTAAGACGTAATGGTCACCCTGTATGTCACCCTGTGTGTCCGTTAGCACTTAATAACTTGAGGAATTTTGGTCCAATTTTTATGAAATTCGGCATGAATGTGAATGTGTTCATGTTTCATTCATTTTGTTCTCAAAGAATCCTGAAGAAAAAATATACAGGCCTATCTATACATATATATAAATTTGAACAAATACAGTAGTGTTTTTGCCTTCTGGGGACATAAAATAAAAAAGTAAATCAGTCCTGGGTTTAGGTTTTTTGTGCTGATACTGATTTCTTCCGACTGGATCAACCTTTTGAAGTCCGGTTTGCGGCATTGTTTTCAGTTGAAGTAGACCTTTAAAATGATGTACAACTCAACATAGGCTGTCATTAAAGATTTTCTTCTGACCCCCGACGGGCCGTCCCCCAAAGGTGATATCCGACCACCATGTACACAGAAAAATAACTTACAATTTCCCGTAACGGTATACCAAATGTGGTTGTGATATCGTTTGTCGTTTAAAAGTTATAAAGTTGTCCTAAGACATAATGGTCACCCTGTATGTCACCCTGTGTGTCCGTTAGCACTTAATAACTTGAGGAATTTTGGTCCAATTTTTATGAAATTCGGCATGAATGTGAATGTGTTCATGTTTCATTCATTTTGTTCTCAAAGAATCCTGAAGAAAAAATATACAGGCCTATATATACATATATATAAATTTGAACAAATACAGTAGTGTTTTTGCCTTCTGGGGACATAAAATAAAAAAGTAAATCAGTCCTGGGTTTAGGTTTTTTGTGCCCCCTATGGTAATAGCTTCTTCCCTGTAGGGAAATTTGCTATAAGGTATTATTTACCATATTCCTCTTTGGCTTTCCACAAAACATGCAAATGTTCCATTCTGTAAGTTGCAATGCCGTAACAAGTGTATGGGCCAAATACTGACCGGCTGAGGTACTCCTGTGGTGGGCTGAGCAATGCCGGCTTGAGGTTTGAGCGTGGCCAGAGCCTCACGTGCGGCAGTCACTTCCTTGGTGAGACGTCCGATGACTCGACACGCTGCATCATGCTGATACAACGCGTGACTCAGCTCTTGTCTAGCTGTCTGTAGCTGCTGCCGTTGTGTGAAGCTGTGCAGCATCACGGCGTCCCACTCGTCTTGCAGTGTCTTGAGGATCGCAGGGATGGAGGTGGCTGACGGAGGTTTAGGTTTCACCACCGGTGTTGCTGAAACACAAAAAATATATACTGTATTGTGCGAAGAACATATAAAATAGTGCTAAGGGTAAGCCCCCAAAGGGGAGGTAACTGCTCGGTGTTGGTATCGGCATTTTCAAGTAGGCCACAGACATGGACGACTGGGCATTGGGTCCCAGTGACATTCCTTCATCCAGGATGGAGGGGTGTTTAGCTCTAGGAGAGATGGAAGTGCATCATATTCTCTAACCTACCTGTGTCTGTGGTTCTTTGGGTTTCGGCCTGCTTGTTGTGTGCGGCCAGCATTCAGTAAGTAGCCTTTCCTGGAGGTGAAAACGGGCAAGTACCCGTAGCTCACGGGGACACTCAAGGGAAACGTAACTTTCCGCAGTGTGAGGGTAACGGTTTGTAGGCACTTATGCAAACCAATCTCTGTCTCTGAGCACGGACGGTATGGTTATCTTGAGTGTGGGGGGTTCTTCCCGGAACCTCAATTGAGTCAAGGGTGTCGCCACCTCTGGTGGATAGGTTCATCCGGGTGGGTCCCACTTCTATACCTGCCTCCTTTTGGGAAACCCTGATGGCCTGGTAGTGATGTTGGGTCTGACGGGCAAACGAAGTAGATCGGGTGCTGGGTCCGAGCCCGCCAGGGGTATCTGGGGATCTATCGCTCTGGTTATCTCTGGTTTCCCAGCAACTGGGTAAGGCCTCGATCGGGTAGTGGTGTAAATGGGAGGTTGGGGTTCCGCTGACGGTCCCCTTCCTTCTGGCTATGATGGCGGGTTCTGCCTGTCAGGGATTAGATAGGTCCCGAGTGTTGCTTGCACTAAATGCGTCGGGGCGCTCCATTATGGTCCTCTAGGGCTTTGTACCTGGCGGAACCCAGGTGGAGTGACGCTTAAACAAGCAGCCGGAATCCCTGGTTAGGATTGAGGGGCAACCCTCTTTCCGAAGGGTCTGCTTCGGCAGCCGGCGAGCCTGATGACCTTAAGTCATCCGCCCATGATGTGCTAAAGGTTGATGCGTAAGCTTCGGCCTACATCATGGGGCCCGGGTATGTCTCACGATAGGTACCGGGTATGTAGTCAGGGGGCTTCGGCTCTCATGACAAAGAAATAATAATAATAATAATAAGGGTAAGCCAGTACAATACAAGAGCACCAGACTTGAACCCATGTATCCCTGCAATGGAATCGTACTCAGGCGTACTACAAACTGAGTGACTAACTCACCAACTGACATTAAAAAAGTGCAAATACCTGCTATTAGGCAATCCAATCTTGTTGCAAACACAACTAGTTTCGGCTCCTAAGTGGAGCCATCATCAGGCTGTACAAGGATGTTTTTCTTTCTTCATACGAAGAGCGACATATCACAATAGTCTGAACTCAAACTACAGATTAGAGTCGTCTGTTTCCTTAACTGATCAGTTACCATAAATGTTTCACATTTGCCTAGTATTTTTATGTTGATTTATTTTCATGTTAAGTTATGATGCTCTTATGTAACTATGTAAATAATAGATACATATATATTTAACTATGTATCTACTGACTGGGCATTTTAAATAATAGTTTAGAGAATGCACTAAAGGGAACAAACCTTGACAATAAGGTCATTGGGGATAGGACACTGGCTTCTAGAACCACAATCACACTTTTTAACTAAAAATACCAAAATTAAAATTACGTAAAAGAAGAGTTATAAGTTAGTTTGAAGGAGGACTCTAACTTATAGGTAGGCTATTAAATATTGTAGGAATTCAACTTACTCCGGATTTCAATGAGCTGGTCAATAGAAAGCTCCTTTCCAGAAATTGGATCCACTCCATTTTCGATTATGTATTTTTCAATCAAGCGTTTCTCAAAAATAGCGCCTGAGGCAGGAGACACAACTGGATGCTCAGGAACTTCATTTGAAACTGTAAAATATAAACGCCGATGTATATTAGTTTAGCTTACACTACTGTTCAACAAAAATAGCACCAGCTGCAGAATACACTGCTGGATGCTCAGGAACTCCATTTGAGACTGTAAAATATAAACGCCGATGTATATTAGTTTAGCTTACACTACTGTTTAACAAAAATAGCGCCTGAGGCAGGAGACACAACTGGATGCTCAGGAACTTCATTTGTGTTTATTTGGGATGATATAAGCCTATCTCACTTAACTAATTTTCCAAGAGTGAGAGTTTAAGTCCATAGATGTTAGGGACTAAGACTTAAGAGACTCCAACAGTAGGCCTAACATAAAAACTGTGAAATTAAATTAAAACAAACTTTTATTTTTTTTAGTTAACTTATACCTCTTAACCAGTGATTTAAAATGTCAACCGTTCCAGAATTGAATTACAGTAGAACTCCAATTATCCAAACTCCAATTAACTGAATCTCCAAATATCCGAATCGCTTGCTTCAACAATTTTAATAACGTAAAGCTACAGTAATAAGTTTTGCAAAATATCAAAGAATTGTTATTAAACACATTTAGCCAATGTGTAATTTTGGATTTCGATGGAACACTATTGACTTAATAACATGTATAGAGCACTTGTACTATGAGCATTGTAAACTGTAAAAATGTTCTTATTTCAATTATTATTAATTTAAAGTTCACTTAGTACCAAAAATGAGGATTTTTCTTTAAAATTTCCGGAATTCCGGTAAAACTCCGATTATCCAAATTTTTGATTATCCGAATGGGGTCTGGTCCCTATTGATTCGGATAATCGGAGTTCTACTGTAATTATTAGCAAATGTCCCATATATTTGTTTGTTTTCAGCAAATTTCCCAAATAAGGGAATAAGCTATTAGGTACCGTAGATCTCAAGGTAAGAACTGTACCCGGGATCGATTTACTTTCAGGTTTTTAGTCCCGAGAGACCAAAAACACGGAAACAGAGAACCAGCGACCCTAACCCTAAGCTGAACCCTTTTACAATTTACTAGGCTTCATTTTGCACACCAACTAGGATCCCCCCCCCCCCCCCAGAATACCTCTTTCCACAAAAATACCTGGTCCATGGGTATGAGAGGTAAGATACATTGGTGCCAAGGGGGAGGTGAGTGATGATGGATTTGGAGAGGAAACGCTTCCGTTACTGAGAGGGCAACGGATCGGATAAGGACCTTACAAGAATAGCATACTTATTGTTGAGATCCTTAGTTAAACAACTGTGCAGCTAATTCTTTGAATCATTAGAGTAATAGCATTAAGACGATTAAAAAATTAGCAAATTATTTCCATCTTAAACTGGAGCATATGTGGAAGCTCAGGAAATTACCAAACAGTTTCAGTTTTTTTAACTGAAACCAATGACTATTGGATAATAGTCAAAACTAAAACCTAGTTTATTTACCTAGAATTTATACTTTTCAGTCCTTAAGTGCATGGTTATTTTTTTCACTATAAAAACCAATAACATAGCTGTGATTATTGTAAATTGTACTAATTAATAAAATTCACCAGAAAATAAATATTTATATACCAGGTTCACTATCTATATAAATAAAATTACAGTTTTGTCTGTACATTGCTTAGAATCATGCGGTTTTTGGTTATTTTTACGTTTCATAGCCTAAGAAAGCCGAAACGAGTCTTATCTCAATTTCTGTCTGTATGTCTGTTTGTCTGTCCATTCTGTGACTCCGTCTGTAACGCCAAAATGTCATTTTACGCGGCCTACTCCTAGAAAACTAGAGTACCTATCAAGGTTTTAATCATATTTCTGTATTAACTGGATTGGTGAGAGTGTCTTTGGCTATAAAAACATGGCCTCGCTTCTTCGAAAACAAAATAACGAACCACCAAAAACCCAATTTTGTTAGATTTTTGTAAAATTTTCTCCCAATGTTTACTATTACATTACATTTTATGAAATAACGATCAGCTGTTTGGATTAGTTCTCACTTCTAGCTGTCACCGATATGTTTACATTAAAAGTTGTTTACAAATACCGCAACCATTTCCGATCAAGTTTTGTCAGCACATCCAAACCAAGTGAGATTAAAAATGTTGTGCCTTACTTAACCGGTTTAATTAATCGCAAGTGCAACGATTGTTCTTGAGTTTTGATAACCAGGGAAAATACCGTGAATCAGTGTTGTATTAGTGCAAGGAAACTTACATTTTTTTTAATCATCATCACCAATACCGTAGCTTGCAAAGGTTTCCACTCATTGACGGCGCTTCAAAGGACAGTTGTGTAAAGTGCAAAGTAAAAAATCAAGACTGCAGTGGGTGATCGTGGATGTTGCTGCGATCTTGGAAGATCTTTCTGATTTCGCTGTGATCGTACCGTAACAGAGGTTTAACTTAACAGATGTAGCTAAACTCGCTTTTCCAATGTGTCACTTTTGGTTTCTACTTACTTACATTTCGACAACGATATCGGTACTTTTCCTACTTAGGAAATAAAACTACAAACGTACAAAACCCCAGATTTGTGCGTTTTTTGTCACATTTCCTCCGAATGTTTGCTAGATATATGTACCGATTATCGTTTAGAGATTACGTAATCTTAAGAAACCTTTGTTTGGATAAAGGTGGTTTCTTCAAACTGTCATTAATATGTTAACATTAAAAGCTGCTTACAAATAATGCTATTAAGGAAATAACTTTGATTATCGAAAACTAAAAAAAAAAAAATTAAAACCAAAGGAGATTAATAACTTTGGTACCGGTACTGCACCACATCAAGTGAAAGTTTTTTTTAGCAAACCATAGTGAGTTTTCAAAGCTTTACGTTGTTTACGTTACATGTTACATGTTTTGTGGCCTGTGTGTATTCATTTATGGTAATTGCCAACTGATTAACACCTATAATACAGTTTGATTAGAAGGACAGTTTGAATTTGTCGTAAGTACCTACTACAGTTCTTTTCTCAAATGTAAACGTTGGTTTTTGGTACCGGTACTGCTACTTTTCCTTAGAACCGGTGGTAGCAGTACCGGTAAGAATAATTTTTACATACAAACACATCACTATTTTCACTATTTATTTATAAACACTGCACCTTATTGCTTATTAAATTTAATTGATGTCTTACTGTATAATTTTTAGCGTTTTCTGTCTGGACTCCAAAAAGTTGTGTGGACTCAATTCTGTATTTGTGTGTGTATGTCTATTGGTAACGCATTAATGTCCTTATTTTTCGTGGAAAAGACAAAACCACCATTGTTAATAAAAATTTCAACCCGAATAAAGTGTGCAGTAGTGAGGTTGAGGTAGTGTTTTAACTACTTTTAACCAGTGTGAAAAGTAACTTTCTATTACAGGCCTACCTTAGGGCTATGCCTCATAGATCTATACTGTAAAGCAATTCCTTTCATCGTTAGATATAAAATATGGACTAACACGATCGGGTGACATTTAATTGCGAAGCATTCATTTTGGCTTTGAAACTGTCAGATATTGTATTTGAGAAGGTTTAGGCTATATGTATTCCTAAACAGTTATAGTTTTCCCATCATATCTGGAAAAATGCACACTAAATATGCAAACCAACTCCTGTTCTGAATATAAGGTTTTAACTTACTACAAGATTCCCGTACGTAGAACGGGCAAACAGCTAGTCTATAGTAAAGTATCTTAAAATTAGGATGCTACATTATTTTTAGTATTGACTGCCCTATTACCAATAGATAACAATAGATTCTATCTTGGCAATTCTGTTTAGCAACTTCTTTACGTCTACTCATAGTCCTTTTAATTCTCAATACATCCCACGGCGTATTCAATTCGGATCGTTTGTTCTTCTCCCTCGCATCAGCTCACTTACACCATCTCCGCCATCCTCACTCTCTCTCCCCTCTCTATTCCACCACCCCTTCCTCCCGGTCTAAATACCCAGTCTGGTACTGTCAGGGAGAATTGGCTGAAATGCCAGGTAGTCTTCTCCATTGGCCTCGACACTTGTATGGCACCTGAATTTACAAGTTCGATAAGACCAGTTGCCGGTTCTCCTACACTAACAAAAACACCATCCGTTCAAATTCATAACTTATACAGTCTAACCTTGATATAACGAACCTCAATATAACGAATTCCTTGATATAACAAATTTTTTTTATCCCCTAGAACCCTCCATAAGACAAAATGTATATTTTACCTCTACATAACGAACAAACCATAACAACGACCTTGATTTAACGAATTTGTTGTGATTTCGGCTAAAATAAGACACCTCAATATAACAAATTTATCATTGTCTGAACCTCAACATAGCGAATTTAACCTCTACTTAACAAATTGTCTACGTCTTTCCCTTGATATAACATGTCGTGGCCTTGTTTATGCACGCGTATTTAGAAGACTTTATAATTGAAAAGGTTGCTTCATTTGGAAAGATTTATTTTACAATACATAATTGTTTGATACAAAATGTCTAATGTTGTTGATAACTTATTTAACACTCTAATGATTAATAATAATATATGATTGATATTTACTTATTGCCAACATAGAATATTTAATAATTATTAAGCATGTGGTTGATATACATACTATATAACAAACCCCCCACCCCATTATTGTTTTTAGCCACCCCATTATTGTTTTTTGGAAAATCTGTTTCTTTATCAAATGAAATGGAAAGGTGACATCATCACTTGCGCTAACATTCGTCTGCTCCGTTTTACACATCTTTGTCTGCTGCTGCTGGCGCTGCACGTTATATGACATAGGCCTACTGAGGACTGACTTGATTTCATTCACTGAGGAGAGGACTGATAACGACGTAATGTTTAGAAAGCTGTGATTGGGCGATAAGTGCCTATCTATGGTGACTTGTACAATTGTTGGATAAAGAGAAGCCTAAGAAAGAATATAAAAACAAAATCAAAGAGAAAGATTAATTTAAGATTATAACAATAATTTTTGTAATGGTCTTTGGCCACTGGAATGGAAATAAAATAAAA